AATCTAGGAGGGAGGGGATAGTGGTACAGGAGGAAAAGCTGTGGGGGGATGGAGTGGTAGGAAGAGTGGAGATCGGCAATTAGCAGGGGGCGGGGTAGGCTTCCCTGAAGAGGTGGATTCCAGAGGATGGGTGATGCTCTGTAGAAGTCCTGGAGGCGGGCATGGGAGGAGGAGACCAGGGAACTAGAGAGAAGGAGGTCTTGTGAGGAGCGGAGAGTGCGTTTTGGGTGGTATTTGGATATTAGGTCAGTGATGTAGTTTGGGGCAGTATTATGGACAACTTTGTACGTCAGTGTTAGCATTTTGAATTTGATCCTTTGGGCAATCGGAAGCCAGTGGAGGGATTGGCAGAGGGGGGTGGCGGAAACGGAGCGGTTGGTAAGGTGGATGAGTCTGGTTGCCATATTCAGGATCACCTGAAGTGGGGATAGCCTGTGGTGAGGCAGGCCAGTGAGGAGGGAGTTGCAGTAATCGAGTTGTGATATGATGAGGGAGTGGATATGCTCCTCATCGTATGCGTGCCATGGATACTACCCCGCTGTTTGCTAGGGAACCATCCAGCTGACACCTGGGGATGCAGTGTCACATGGCACCATCGATGACTGGAAACGTTGATCCTCATTTCCTGTGTGCCATGAATACCACCCCACTGATAGCTGGGGAACCTGGTATCATCTAGCAACTGTCCCACTGATGGTGGGAACAACTTGTCTCCACTTACAACCCTGCCAGAGATCCAGGAGCTGACATCCAGCAGTAAACCAACAAAGTAAGAGAACACAATCTTGATAGGTCCAATGAGGACAAACAGGAACACGGCATCTGGCTCAGCTTTAGAATTTATAAGAGTGGAGTAGGGGCAAAGGTGGAGCTTCCCAAATGTATGCTGCTATGGAGTCAATCAGGAAAGCTACTTAGTAATGCCTTTAGCCTTGATTTCGGCACAGATTGAGCATTGCTGATTTTTGGGAATAAAATGTTATATTTTAATTTGCATACTTTAGCTTGCATACAGTTAGGCCATCAGTACACTAGGAATGATCAGGACCCCTGATGAAGTCACGTGGTTCGTGATGATATGCATGGGGAAGATACAGGTGACATCAGAGCCGGAACACCGCCAACATGATTGGAGACGCTGCAGTGTTTATTACAGCTTTTTAGCTTCTGTCACACTGCGGTTTATACTATTGCTGCCAGCTATACTGTTACAAAGTTTTACTTGGCGGATACAGTGGCCCTATATGAGAGGCGGATTACCCACAGAGGAGAGGATACTATCTCACCCCCACTAGGAGGGGAGAGGCCTGTTTGACCTGTTTTGTATATGGGTCAATACATGAAGGTGAGGGTCCACCTATTCAATATGGTCACCGTGGTGAGGCACATAATTTAAAGATTTACAGCACCAGGATAGTGGGCTTACTCTCCAGTAGGATGATGTTCTTCCCACTCACAGTGTTGAAGAGAATTTTTTTCTTTTTTCCCACTTTGAACATATATTGCTGAGTCTTTCACGTTTTTGGATTTTCTGTATGTTATGCTTTAGTGTTTTTTGAGTAGCGCAACACTATACACTGTTTTGACCCTTTAAAATTATGGATAGTCTTGAGGCACCCCATTCCAGAATGTTTACTATTCTAATTTTACATAATTCAACAACATCCACACATGTAGGACACCCAACATTAGAGGTGATTTATTCTTCCAAAGCAAATACACTTATGCACACTGATAATGATTAGTATTCCAATATTTCTCCTCTCCCTCAGTTTTTTCCTCATTGCTCAGCTAATGTGACCCCAGCAGTGACAGAGAGGGGCAGGGGAGGGCCAAACTAGGATGATGTGCAACATCCTCCTTATCAACTAGGTCGTAATGGTGTACAATGAAAACCTGTGAATTTGTGTAACTAAAAGGCAGCCTTGTTCCACCTGCTGGCTTGTAAAACAAGTTTTGGGCAATTTTTAGATGTTCTGCCAAGGCACCCCTGAATAAGGCACCCTGGTTGAAAAAGGGTGGCTTAGACGGTTGAAAGCAAAAGTTGTCCTCCCTTCCAGTAGTCTTCTGAAACACGTGACAGGTCCCAAAAGACTACAGGACCATTCACAAGGTCCCGCACTACTCGCACATACACAGTGGGCACCCAGCTGTGAAGCTGGGTGCCCAAATTTAAGATGCTGGCGCCAGGGAGAGAGGATGGCCGATGGAACAGGCTGGGGTGATCACACACTGCTGGACTGAGGGACAGGTGAGTGGCTGTATTTTTAGTTAGCAGCTACAAAAATTGACTTCATTTTTTAAGTTTTAACTGGATCTTCACTTTAACCACTTGCCGACCACAGATAGCCGAATGACAGCTTAACTGCGGCCGGCCAGTTCTGGGAGGCTGCCATATGACATCCTCCAAGAACACACTCTCCTGCGCGCCCCCCAGCAATCTCCATGATCACTGTCCTATGGACACAGCTGATCACGTGATGTGGTAAAAGGCCAATTACAGCGGCATGTTACCACGTGATCAACATGTCAAATGACACACTGATCACCGGGAAATGCAATTGCCAGTTATCGACTACACTTTCCTCACGGCGTACTGCCGAGAACCAGCAGTTGTCAGAGGAGGGATCAGCACCGTTCATTAGGGCACTGATGATCGGTGCCCAGCAGTGCCACCCACCAGTGTCCAGCAGGGCCACCCACCTGTGCCCATCAAAACCTCCAGCCACTGCCCATCAGTGCCAGCTCATCAGTGCTGCCTATCAGTGCAGCATCATCAACACACATCAGTGAAGGAGAAAAATTACCTGTTTGCAAAATTTTATAAAAGAAACAAAGATAATTGTTTGCTTTTTTTTGTTTATAGCGCAAAAAATAAAACACCCAGCGGCGAGTACATACCACCAAAAGAAAGCTCTATTTGTGTGAAAAAAAAATTATAAAAATTTAATATGGGTACAATGTTGCATGACTGCGCAATTGTCTTTCAAAGTGCAACAGCGCTTAAAGCTGAAAATTGGCCTGGACAAGAAGGGGGTATAAGTGGTTAAATACCACCAAACAAAAAGCTCAATCTGTCGAAAAAAATGATAAAAAATTGCATTTGGGTACAGTGTTCCATGACAGCACAATTGTCATTTAAAGCATGACAGTACTAAAAGCTGAAAATTGGTCTGGGCAGGAAGGGGGTGAAAGTGTCCGGTATTGAGGTAGCTGTCCATTTGTTTCTGATGATGAATGAACTGCATCTGCAGTGAACCAACTCAGATTATGGTTGCCATGTGCACTGTCCAGTCCGCTGTGCACTGGACTGCGTTTGCTGTGATCCAACTCTGATCATGGTTGCCAGGTGCACGGTCCAGTCCAGTCTGCTGTGCACTAGCTCCGATCATGGTTGCCATGTGCACTGTCCAGTCCGCTATGCACTGGACCGCATCTGCTGTGAACCAACTCCGATCATGGTTGCTATGTGCACTATCCAGTCCAGTCCGCTATGCACTGGACCGCATCTGCTGTGAACCAACTCAGATCATGGTTGCCATGTGCACTGTCCAGTCCGCTGTGCACTGGACCGTATCCGCTGTGAACCAACTCTGATCATGGTTGCCATGTGCACTGTCCAGTCCAGTTCAGTCCACTGTGCACTGGACCGCATCCGCTTTGAACCAACTCCAATCATGGTTGCCATGTGCACTGTCCAGTCCAGTCCGCTGTGCACTGGACCGCATCCGGTGTGAACTAACTCCGATCATGGTTGCCATGTGCACTGTCCAGTCCGCTGTGCATTGGACCGCGTCCGCTGTGAACCAACTCCAATCATGGTTGCCATGTGCACTGTCCAGTCCAGTCCGCTGTGCACTGGACCGCGTCCGGTGTGAACTAACTCCGATCATGGCTGCCATGTGCACTGTCCAGTCCGCTGTGCATTGGACTGCGTCCGCTGTGAACCAACTCCAATCATGGTTGCCATGTGCACTGTCCAGTCCAGTCCGCTGTGCACTGGACCGCATCCGCAGTGCACCAACTCTGATCATGGTTGCTATGTGCACTGTCAGTCCAGTCCAGTCCGCTGTGCACTGGACCGCGTCCGCTTTGAACCTACTCCAATCATGGTTGCCATGTGCACTGTCCAGTCCAGTCCGCTGTGCTCTAGACCGCTTCCGGTGTGAACCAACTCCGATCATGGTTGCCATGTGCACTGTCCAGTCCGCTGTGAACGAACTCCGATCATGGTTGCCATGTGCATTGTCCAGTCCGCTGTGCTCTAGACCGCGTCCGGTGTGTGAACCAACTCCGATCATGGTTGCCATGTGCACTGTCCAGTCCGCTGTGAACCAACTCCGATCATGGTTGCCATGTGCACTGTCCAGTCCGCTGTGAACGAACTCCGATCATGGTTGCCATGTGCATTGTCCAGTCCGCTGTGCTCTAGACCGCGTCCGGTGTGAACCAACTCCGATCATGGTTGCCATGTGCACTGTCCAGTCCGCTGTGAACCAACTCCGATCATGGTTGCCATGTGCACTGTCCAGTCCGCTGTGCACTGGACCGCGTCTGCTGTGAACCAACTCCGATCATAGTTGCCATCTCTGACTTCTTTGCAAAAACATAATACATACATTTTCCCTGCAAATATGTGAGCACTCATTATTTCTTGTCCAAGGAGTTGTTCACCTTTCAAAGGGTCTTGTAGAGGGGTGAGGAGGGGCAGGCAGTGTGGAATGTGTGGAATGTGAGCAGACAAGAGGCGGTCACGTTGTCTATAGGTCAGTCATGTTCCCTCACGAGGAGCCCAGTAATCCTCTCCTCATATAAAATCCTGCACAGCCGGGCCGGGGAGCCTGGTCATGTGTGGGCGGGGAGGATTATCCGAGTCACAGGCCGCCTCTCATTAATGGGCCCATCACCTGTGCAGTAAATCAGTGTATAGTGACTCCGGGTGGACATAGACGAGTCTCCCTGCCCAAGCTGAGGTGATTCTCTCACAAGACATGGCTGCTATGTGGAGTGTGGGCGCTTTCCTCCTGCTTGCCCTGTGTACCCAGCGGCTGGGAGCGCAGTTCCCCAGGGTTTGTACTACAGTGTCGGCTCTGGTGAACAAGAGGTGCTGCCCTCCTCTGGGCTCCCAGGTAGACAACACGTGCGGCTCTGCCCAGGGCAGGGGACAGTGTGTAGCTGTGCAGGTGGATGAGCGCCCCTGGAGCGGACCGTACACTCTGCGCAATGTGGATGACCGGGAGCGCTGGCCACTCAAGTTCTACAACGCCACCTGCCTGTGCAATGGTGAGTACTGCCACTGACACCCCACCTGACACCTCTGCTTCTGATCCATCTCTTTACTGTCTTAGGCTGGCCATACACCATGGCAATCTGATTGTATGATCTTATGGTAGCCACACACACACTTTCATTTCATGGTTTGATCAAAACGATCTGCAGTTGAATAGCCAAAACTGATTGATTAATGGTGGTGATGCACACTTGTTATTGTTTGATATGCTGAAATCAGCAAACTTCTTTTTGAAGTATTTAAACTTGATTTTTCAATCACATGTGACCTAATACAGTTGGGAGGAGGAAAATATTGATCAGCAGCAATGATCAGATACTTTGTTCAAGATAATCACAGCTTATGAAATGACGTGAAAAACAGGGTTGCCATCAATAAGTTACAATAATCTATTAACCACTTGCCCTCCAGAGGATTTACCCCCCCCCCCCCCCCTTCCTGACCAGGCCATTTTTTTTTCGATACGGCACTGCGTTACTTTAACTGACAATTGTGCTGTCATGCAACGCTGCACCCAAATGACTTTTTTCGTTTTTTTTTTTCCCCAAAAAAATATTATTATACAGTATTTATATAGCCCCAAAAGGTTTGCTTAGAGCTGTACATTATAGTGGTGGACAGAACATGAGCCAATACAGTGACAATACAATACACGAGGGGTTCGAGGGTCCTGCTCTTTCGAGCTTACAATCTAGGAGGGAGGGGATAGTGGTACAGGAGGAAGTGGCTGTGGGGGATGGAGTGGTGGGAGGAGTGGAGTAGATCGGCTGTTAGGTGAGGGTGGGGTAGGCTTCCCTGAAGAGGTGGGTTTTCAGGGTGCGCCTAAAGGGGAGGAGGGTAGCCATGCAGAGCCATACAAAGCAATGTCCAGGAGCTGACAGGGGATAGATCTGTGTTTATACACCGGTCTCTCACCTGTCATATACTCGGCAATCACCGCTGAAACCCGGTGATTGATAGCCAAGGCCACAAATGGCGTGATTTTGCTCACCCGTGCCGCCCTGTAGCAGTATTTCTGGTGCAGAAGCGGTTAATTGAAATCTACTTCCCCAATGTGAGGCTTATCAGATAAATTGGTTGTAGGCTATAGATTAATTATTCCTATCGGAAGACATCTATTGGGAAAAAATTGCTTTAATGTTCAGGATTTATGTAGCGGCAGTGCACACTGGTTTATAACATACCGGTATTTATGGAAATGTGCAAGGCCATCATTCAACTTGATTTAGTCCCCGGTCACACTGGTGTGACTTGTCATGCAATTTGATAGTTTGAAAGCACATGACAAGTCATGCCCTTGTCTGCAATGGAGGCGGTAAATTGGAGTCGCACCAATTTTGAAAGTACTTCATGCACTACCTTTTGCAGTTCATTGTGACTTGCATAGACATCTGTGCATGACTTGCATAGACATCGGTGCATGAAGTCGCACTGACATCCGACTTTGAAATTGTGCGTTTTCAAGTGAAGTCACACGATTTCAAAGCCACTGAAGCCTTAGAATGGATTCAGTCAAACAGAGTTGATTGGCCAGGACAGAAAATGATCATTCTTTTTTGCATCAACTGACCGTGCTGAGATAACTGTGTTCATGGAAACGATTCTATTTCGACCAATCAGATTATGAGATGACGTGATGGAAACAGAGATGTGATTAATCACTTGCAATCATAAGGCCCCACACTGACGGTTTGATTGGGTCCGCCTGTCAGTTCTTCAGGCGGACCCGATCAGGCCATCCATAGACCTCTATGGACTGGCGGGTGTCAGCGGACAATTGTCTGCTGACACCCGTCGGCATCAGATCTGTTGCTGTACACCAAAAACAGACTGTTCCCCATTTGTCTGGCAAATCTGATCTGGAAACACAGGTGGTCCGCTTCCACCCAACTGCCCCATAGGAAAAAGCAGGCTCTGCCTGTATCCGCTGTGCAGCAGCGGAATGGACACAGACCTGTCATCTGCTTGCTCAGCAGAGAGATCCCCTGCTGAACAAAGAGATCCGCTAGCAGGTCTGCCCCATCTGAAAAGGGCAATCACATCTTCACTATCAATCAAAACCACCTTCCTTGTGCCCACACGGCATATCCATCAAAAAGTTGTGCACTATAGATGAATTGTTCATATCGAGAGTGAAAAAAGCCTAAAAAAGAAAACTAATGCAGCCATCAGATCTAAAAGATAGTAAGCCTGCAATATAATGTTTGCTTTTGCGTTATTTAAGACTATTAGCACTAGAACATCATCACAATTTCCCCTCACTTCCTGCTCTGGTGACAACTGTGAAACTTTTGGTTATCTCATGGACAGTGGTGACCAGGATGAAAGTTTTTGGCTGTGCTTACTTTTCCCTGAAATGTCCAGGGTTTAATACAGAACAACAAGTTCCCCCTTATTCTGTCTTGTTTAAAAATGCCTTGAACTATTTATCCCTTGATATAAATACAAGTATAGAAATTCCATGTCTGCCTTGTAGTTAATGTTTCAATAGTTACATTATATAATTTTTTTTAATTGAATTTGCATACAAGCGAGTGAAATGTTCAGAAATTCTTAATAATGCTCCATTCCTAGTTGTGTTTGTAATGAATGATGCTGTATGCACTCATTCACATGGCAGTCAGTGGGGCAGTAAAAAGAGGTAGCTGAATCACATTTTTACTGCCCCCCCCCCCTTAGGTTTCAAAGACAACTGGATGGAGTTGTATTCATGCCATGGTCGTAATGCATTGTTTCACGGCAAAAAACATTTTTCACTGTCGCTGAATGCAACTTATTAAAATGAATAGGGTCATGTGACCGCCACATTCAGTGTAGTGGTGTGGAATCTACAGGGTAAAACAGGCAGTGAGGAGGCAATACGTCAACTCCTCACTACCTGTCAAATGCCTCTGAAAAGTGATTAACATTTGGTTAAGGCGGTATTAAACCCAGAACCAAAAATGTAATACATTGCAGCTTACCAATCATTAGATGTGGCGGCTGCATTAGTTTTCTCTTTTAGGCTTTTTCCCTCTGTTTTAATCTGATCTGGCCAGTAACACCTTCTGTATTAGTGCCCTCTACTCTGGATGAAGGGGCACTTTTAAACAGCAGCATTGCCAGTCTGGGGGGGAGGGGGACTATTAGATGGACTAGCAGATTTAGCTACACCAACAAATTGAAGCCACATTCTAGCTAATGCTTTATAAGCAGTTACAGCAACAGTTTTGACCTTTTGGGATAAAGGTTTTTACTTGACTAAATAAAAACTGCCAGTGGTAAATGGTTTGTCTCATCTCTGTAACTGATGCATTCTGCCAGAGAGCTTGTTCTTTTGAAAAAAAAAAAAGACTTACTGGCCAGATCATCAGATGCAAATAGAAGATAGCCTTAAAAAAAGCAACCGTAGCCATTATATCTAAGAAATGGTAAGCTGCAATACAATAAATGTTTGCTTTTGGGTTTAATGCTACTTTAACCACTTTAGCCCCAGCTAATGTACATATACGTCATAGGGTTGAAGTGGTTATACCAGGATGACGCCTGCAGCTACAAGCAAGTATTGTGTTTTTACAGCCAGTGATAGACGTTTTTTTAAAACCGATCCTAGCAGCTAATTATCTTTTACAGGCAGCAGAAGGGGGTCCCCCAAGACTGCAGTCGATAGTTCTGCCGTCTGACCATAGAAATGATTGAGCACTGAAATGTCCCCAATCATCCCTATGGTCTAAGAAAGCGGAAGCAAAGAGCATTTTGTCAATCCCAGTTTTGCCGGATGTAAATAAGGCATTGCTGGCTTGGCAAAGCATGGGGTCAAACCAAGCTTAATTTTGATCAGATGCTTTTTAAGGGTAGAGGAGAGATCTGAGGGCTAATAGACCCCAGATCAAAGTACCTGTCACTGCCCATGCTATTGTTCATCTCTTGTGATTAACAATACAGTTGATTAAAAAAATGTAAAGAGACTAAAAAAAAAACAATAAATAGAAAAAAAAAAAAGGTTTAAAGCACCCTCGTGCTCATGTGCAAAGACGAATGTGAACATCAGTTCCACACGTATTTGTAAACCGCAATCGCACCACACATTTGAGGTATCATTGTGCACGTCAGAGCGCAATAATTCCAGCACCAGACCTCCTGTGTAACTCTGAAGTGGTAACCTGTAAAAGCTTTTAGAGTATCTCCTTTGGATAATTTAGTATACTGTAGTTTGTCACTGCTCCACGGGCGTGCGCAATTTGAAAGTGTGACATGCCTGATATCTATTTACTCGGTGCAACATCTTTTTGCATTTTACAAAAAAATTGGGTATTCTATTGTTTGTGTGCACTAAAAATTAAAGTGTAATTCTTTCCAAAAAAATTAGCATTTGAAAAATCGCTTTGCAAATACCACGTGACATAAACCATTGTAACACTCACCATTTTATTCTGTAGGGCCTCTGATTAAAAATATTTACTGTTTGGGAGTTTTTTCTAGCAGAAAATACAGATTTTTACATGTAGGTGAGAAGTTTCTGATTTGGCTGGTTCACTTTTTTTTTTTTTTTGTGCTTTTTTTCAGAAACTCACTACAGTCCATTTAACATGGTTTCCTATGGGAAATAAATAAAGTGGTGTAGCGCTCAATACCAAAAATTCTATATAATACAAATAACATATATAAAAATACATGACATTGAGTGCTCAAAAAACAAACCAGGTCAAAAAGACCTAATAAGTGACTAACATATAGTGAACCCAATCCCAATGAGGGATCAATGGACAAGTGACCCTTAGTCCCCACAGCTGGGACTCAAACCTATCAACACATGGATCCCTGTGGAGGGATAAAGGCAAATAAAGTGCTCATCAAATGCATATAAATTAACACAAATGTAACAAAGTCCAATGAATGTGAACACAGCTGAAGTGCTTGTCTTCTGGATCATGCAAAAACCGTGACACACCGGTAGGTGCTCCTAAGAATGGCTGCAATGGCCTCTCACCTCCACTCAGCAACCCCTAGGGGCCACAAAGCCTTGTGGATCTCTCCTGGATCCTTCCTGTATAGGTACTCCTGATAGTCTTATACCTGGGCTGAAAAGGACCCTTAGATGTACCGTGTCTTCACTAGGAACCCCTCTGGGTCAATGGATAGGCAGGCAGATGGATACTTGTTAACAGCCCAATTCAAAAGGCCTCATCATGTTGCAAGACTTGAGCTCCCACACAATCATGACAAGGCTTTGTCCAGATTTGTGTCACTGTAGCGGATACTAAAGAACAAACCTGTCAAAGGAAGCCCTTCTGCACTGTGCTGTCAGTGTGGGAGTGCTTCCATTTCTCCCGCTCTTTCGGGAGAAATGGAAGCACTTTCTATGCTTTTTTGAGCTGCTATGTTTTTGGAAAGGGTCAGGGACTTTGTTTAATACAAAAAGCAGCGTTTTTGCTACAATAGAGTTTCCCTGTATTTTGCGTTTTTTATTCTGTTCAGCAAAAAAAAATTTCCACTAACAAAAAAATAAAGCTGAAAAAAAAAACACAAAATGGGCAAAAAACACAATGCATTGGTGTGGCCTAAAGTCACTTGGGATGTTGCAGATACATTTGCTGGTGTATGTTAAATCCCCGGTTTTGTAATATTCTTCTTTTTCTGAGAGCACATGTTTAATATTACCAAGGGGGAACAAGCCCCAAGAAAAGCTACAGCAAAGATTCCACTTGGAATGTTGTGTGGTTGAAAAGTCGACGTCGCCTGCACACTGGAAGATTCCTGTATCTATGGCTTTTACGTTTTTAACGTTTCGGTCATTAGAGTGGAGGAAATCTGCCCAGAGCTCTCATGTCTCTGACTCTTTCCCTACACATACTCTGTTGGGATATAGCTAGAGTCTAAAAATCCAGCGTAGACCTAGTTTGATAGTTTCTATGCACTCCAACTAAAAGAAACCGCCTTGTGCTCAGCGTGATTGCACAGCATCAATTCCCATGTAAAATTAATTTTCCAGTCAGTTAAACACAAATGATTTTTGTTTTTCTTTTAATTAGTTATCAAATGACAGTAATTTAGTTGTAACCCTGTGTTACTAAGAGCGAGTAAATTAATTTGACACCGAACCATTAAATTTGCCATGCTACTTGAGTCCAACTTTGCGATCTTAGATGGATGGCACAATGTGTTTACACAAACTGTTCTCACCAGATGCTTCATTAAAGAGCTGTTCCCTGGACCATCTCCACAACAGTAGGCCATGAAGGCTCCCACTGTAGCTGAATGTACATGGTTACATTTTGAAAAGTCACTCTTAATGGTGAACCTAACGAGCCGTTTTTTCGTGAAGCATCCTTGAGATTTGACATTTATCTGAAACTTGTATTCTTTGTTCAGTTCGGTGGCTGCTAATTGGTATTGCTAGGTATTTGATGGAGGCAATCGCCACAGGCAGTTTGCAGAAATAAAAAATATATTATGTTATGATGTCCAAAGCTTTGTTAGGATCAGAGGCATATCTTTGAAAAATTTAGTCCCATGACAAAACTTGGAGTAGGATCCCTAGCCTGCTAAATTCTAATAGGCAACCCCACCTGCATCAGTCTGCTGCAGTTTATAATTTGCTTTTCCTTCAAAGTGATATTGCGTAACTTCTTAACTACATATGTTTCTGCATTTACCTTAGTTTCCTATTCCTTCGTTGCAGATTAGCTGAATTGCTATGCAGCCATAAAAAATGGACCCTTTGAGATGTAATTTTGCTGCCTTCTGGCCTTTATGATTGAGTTGTCAATGCATCATTTTAATGAGGGGTGCTATTTTGTGCACAGGTTTAAGGATGGCCACTGGGAATAGGTGAGATACAACTCGGTGGCCAGGTGATGAGGTGCCAGTATAGTTTCTATTTTGTTAAAGTGCTTATTTGGCCAACAGTATAACCTACTTTTTTTTATTTATTTTTTTTTGTGTGTGTGTGTTTCACAAACACCTTGGCAACGATCTACCAGTTTAAACCAAATTTCAATAGCTATATTAACCCAATGGAAGCTAACACCAGCAGTTTTTTTTTTTTTTTTCTTAAACCATGAAAAAGTGAAGTGTTGGTGGTAGGTTCCTTTACTTGGTTGGTTTGCCTGTGCTTTAAAATTCAGTCAAAAAATTGAAATTGCTAGGAAACTGCTGTGTGTTGACTTGGGTAGATAGCATAACCATATCTTATTCTAGAAATGTGTTAATAGCATAATCCCTGAGATTTTTAGTTCCACAGGAGTCTCATTCGGTGTCTGATTATGCTAGGGTTCCTCCAGAGGTTGGTAGGAGTTCCTGGAGCAATGTCTGCCTCTCAGATAAGTTCCCACTGACACATTAATGTTTTTAGATATCTATAAGAGGGTAACTCTTCCTAATGACCACAAGTTTAAGGAGCATGCTTCACATGACCATCACACTAATGTATCATGAGTTGTAGATATAGTCCTTTTTAGCAGGAATTCCGAGACTGGAAAGTTATCTCAAGGGTTCCTCTGTTCTGAAACGGTTGAGAGGCTGGATTATGCCCTAGTGTTTAGATATAAATGATTAAACAAAACTGGTCAGGAGAGACATAAGTAGGCTACCTTTGACCTTTTGAAACTAATGGTTGCCTGGCTGTCTAGCTTCAATATTTGAGTCATTGATCTAGAACAAGAATATAGTATTATTATTATACAGGATTTATATAGCACCAACAGTTTGTGCAGCACTTTACAAAATTTAATATGTGAAGTCCAGCTTCTAGTCTACATGCTTGTTCAGGGTCAGAGACTCAAAATGAAGCCATAAGATGACCATGAAGGCTAGATAACTAGCATTCTTGGGAGAGGTCATCAATGGCAACCTGGGTATTTTCCTTGAAAACACCATTGTAATAACATTTTAGTCTTTCAGTGATCACAGTAAAATTATTTAAGCTTTGATGTGGCTTTGATTAACAAATATACAGTCCAGATCAGGGGTCCTCAAACTTTTTAAATGGGGGGCCAGTTCACTGACCTTCATGCTGTTGGGGGGCCAGACTATAGTTTGAAAAAAATATGAACAAATTCCTATGCACACCACACATCTTATTTATAGTGGAAAAAACAATACAAGATTTAAACTGCACTGGACACCGCAATGCTCAATGCACTGTGCCTGGTGCACTCTCCTCCTCTCCTGTTGCTCTTGTCGCTGCAACTGGTGAAATCAGAGGCTTCCAGGCTACTGCTCGCTGGGTCCTCGGCGAGTGGCTTAGCTACTTGCTAGCTGGGCAGCGCCATGGTTTTTTTTTTTTTTTTTTTTTTTTTTTTTTTTTTTTCCCCAGCTGGTAGGCCAGGTAAATGTCTTTGGCAGGCTGTAGTTTGAGGACCCCTAGTCCAGATGTTTAGTGCTGTGGTAGTTCTGCCACCATTGCAGCATTGGTCGCTTTACTCAAAGACCAATAGGCATCTTCTAAGTTTTGTTTGACATGACAGGGAGTTCTGTTTTTTGCTTTTGTTATTACAAAGAGTACTGTTTGGGCTATCTCCTGCAGATATCACTATACAGAATATAATGTATATCTACCCTGTCCATGTTTGTGTTTTACATAAATTCAGTACAAATCACTTACAGGTTGCAACCGTTTCCTTAGCTTGCTAGGTCCATAATTAAAGAATATGCAGTCCTGTCATTTAGAAAATGTAATTGCTAATCTGTAAATTTTTTTCTCTGAGCTAGAACTTTCTTTTTTTTCCTCCCCAGTAGAATTAGGAGTGCTGTTTGAATATATATATTCAGTCTCATTCTCCCTAATCGAGCATAGTTTGTTTATTGACCCATTTTCAATTTCCAGAAATAAGTGGAAGAATTTTAAGGATCTACCAAAAATCGACCAAGAACTGAATAGAAGAGGAATAAGAGTTAAGAACATTTTATGTGCAATTATGTTTTACAGAGCTAAATCTATAAAGACAGGCTAGTCCAGTCTATTAAAATAGATTTTACATTAGGAGGGTGGAGTGATCATTATAGAACATTTCACAGAATAAACTAATGTTGTTTTGTGCTTGTTTGCTCAGCTAGAAACATTATATTAATGACACAATTATTACTATGGTAAAAAATATTGTGGAACGTGCATTAACTCATAACAACAAAGTAATTATCTCCTATTCTTGGGACTGCTCCCAACTGATAAATCAGGCCCAAGTTAGAGTGGGTACTTTGGATGGTAGAGGTATAGTGAGGAGAAAGATGTCTGTTGTCATTATTGCACAAGTCCTTGCCAGACAATGAATTGGGTAATTATTTCATCACAGAATATACCTGCAGTACGTGAAATTTGTAAAATACCAACTCTGTTGGCAAAAGATTTGTGCAGTTGGGGCATTTACATTAAATCTGGTTGTTGTCTTGCACTTCTATTCTTGTTTCTGTACCAATCTTCTATGCTATAAAGACAATACAAAGACATTAACACATGGATCTGGCAGGCTTTATTTTGTGCTGCATTGTTCCTGATGTATTGCTTGTTAAATTGCAGCTTACTCATATTTTAATTTATACATATATCTTCCCCAGGAAACTTTGCAGGTTATAATTGTGGAGACTGTAAATTTGGATGGATGGGGCCTAACTGTGACCAAAGGAAGCCACCAGTTGTACGGAAAAATATACATTCTTTAACGGCACAGGAGAGAACTCAGTTCCTGGATGCACTGGATCGTGCGAAGAATACCATTCATCCTGATTATGTAATTGCCACTCAACACTGGCTTGGTCTACTTGGGCCCAATGGAACTGAACCACAAGTATCAAACACCAGCATCTATGACTTCTTTGTCTGGCTTCACTACTATTCTGTCAGAGACACATTGTTGGGTATATTATTTTTTTAAAAAATACCAAAAAAAAAAACTATTAAAAGGGAAGACTGTATAGCTTTTTTTTGTGGAGAGCTGTTAGGTTAAAGTCCATCTAACGCAAATAACAAAAATCTACTATATTGCAGCTTGACAGTACTTAGATGTTGTAAATGCATTCATTTTTTCCCTTTATTTTCACCTGTTTATCTGGGCAATAACACACATTTTAGGGTCAAGTCACTAAAGGTGACCGCATGCGATAACACTGTTATGTGACTAATTTGCATAAATGATTGCATGCGATAACAAAATGTTCAATTCACAAAAAAAAATAGGTTCTGCAGTATTAAATGCAAAATTAAAAATGTATCTGTAAACACCGCAAAAAAAAAAAGAGGGTAGAGACAATGGGTTGAGAACTTTAATGCTTATTCAGAAAAGTAGAAAAGGGAAAGCCCCGGTGGTGCTCTTGTCAATTGATGCCGAAAAGGCGTTTGATAGAGTGGACTGGGGCTTTATGATGGACAACTTGGAAGTGTTGGGGATTGGAGAGAGACTGCGTGAGTGGATAGGTAAATTTTATATAGGGAGCCCACCGCAATCATCATGGTAAATGGGGAGAGGTCGGAATCCATTGGGATGTCAAATGGAACAAGACAAAGCTGCCCATTGTCCCCCTTGTTGTACGTTTTGACATTGGAACCCCTGTTATCAATAATAAGGAATAGCGGAGCGGTAAAGGGAATCCAGATAGAAAATATAGAACATAAAGTAGCGGCCTTTGCGGACGACCTATTGTTTTATGTAGGCAACCCCCGAATAACACTACCAAGTATAATGAAGACCCTGAAGGAATATGGTGAACTATCAAATCTAAAACTTAACCCAACAAAAACAGAGATTCTGAACATCAATATACCAAAGAGCGAAAAAGAAAAGCTACAAAAAGAATTCCCCTTTATATGGAGAGAAAAAGATATAAAATACCTAGGAATAAAACTCGCTACCTCATATAAACAACTGTATGGATTAAATTATATTTTCTCTGATAAATGAGACTAAGGACGAACTAAAAAGATTAGAAGGAGGAAACCCATCATGGTTAGGTTGTATAAACCTAGTTAAAATGGTAATTATACCTAAAATACTCTATAGATTTCAAATGATCCCAATCAAACTCCCAGAGGCGTTTTTTAAAATAATGAGAAGAATGTTAAGATATATATGGAGGAATAAAAAACCAGGAATATCATACGAAACACTAAGTAGGACTAAAGAGAAAGGGGGGATGGGACTACCAGATGTCAAGAGATATTATAAAGCAGTAATTTTAGCAAGAATTTATGATTGGACTTTTAACCATAAGGGGAAAATTTGGGTAAAAATAGAAAATGAACTGAGTGGAATTAGTTTGAGTAAGATGATATGGGTTCCAGCACATTATAGAAGAATTAAAGAAAGCACAAGCACTTTCACTTGAAATGTTTTAAGGCTATGGGATAATTTACATAAACACATGAAATGGGAATTCAACTCTATATTAATGCCTCTTGCAAACACGGAGTTTTTCCCTCCAGGAAAAGATGCGATATCAGGGAGATGGTTTAAAAAGGAAGATATCCAATTGAGAGACGTATTGGTAGAGGGGGAATTGAGAACATTTAAAGAATTAAAAGAGAGGGGAGGAGATATGTTTATTAAAATAGATGAGTGGAAATATCATCAATTAAAATGTTTAATTGGAAATCTCCCAAAACCCTTGAGATTAAAAAAGGAGTGGAATATGTTTGAAAGGCTACTAGAAACACGTAGAGATGGGAAACACGGTGTTACAAAAATTTATAGAATTCTTACAGAATTAGACACAGACACAAAGTTAATTTTTATAACAAATTGGGAAAGAGATATGGAGGTGGTGATAGATGAGGATCAACAGAATAAGATATTTAGACTGGTACATGAGAGTGTTAGTATGAAAGACGTTGAGATTAATTATAAATGTTTGACACGATGGCATATTACACCGAGCACTGAGCACAGGATGAGGGGGGAGAATTCAAAAATGTGTTGGAGAGGATGTGGGGAGGAGGGCACGGTGTTTCACATATTGTGGCAATGTCCAAAAATTCAGGTTTTCTGGAAGACAATAGTTAAATTAATATAAATAATAACTGGAAATGACATAGGGTTAGACCCAACCATGTGTCTCCTACATAATGTTGAGACAACAATAAATAAATATAAAGAATCAGGCGTATGGTACTACTTAAGTGCTGCAAAAGGGTTGATACCCAAGTTTTGGCGGAAGACAGAGGTGCCGACGGAGGAGGATTGGATCAATAGGGTAAACCAGATTAGTAGAATGGAAAAATCTTACTATATTCAGGAAGACAGGTTGGAATTATACTATTCGCGATGGGAAAAATCAGGATTGAAAGAGAAATATAGAAAATTTTAAACTAGGAAGTTATTTAAAGTTATTGGGCCTAGAGAGATTGGAGATCTTGCAGAGGGGAGGAAGGGGGGTAGAAATGGGTTGGGAGGGAAAAGAAAAAAAAAGAGGTAAATAGAAGGGGCAAAGTAGAAATGTATTGATTATTTATATGTATTGTGTCTCTTCTTATGGAATTTTTGTAATAATAAGAAACTAATAAATATTTAAATTAAAAAAAAAAAACACCCGCAAAAAAAAATGCAGTAAGTTGTTAACATTCATACCAGACCAATAGGGTGAATTGGTCTTAAGGGGAACCCCATGCCAAAATTAAAAAAAAAAAAAAAAAAAATGGCGTAGGGTCCACTCCAGATCCATACCAGACCCTAAATCCCTTAGGATTGTGAGGGGACCCGCACCCTTTTTTTTTTTTTTTTTTTTTTTTTTTTTTTTTTTTTTTTTCCCATTTTGTAGTTGCTGGCATGTTTTGTTTTCATTCAGGTGTCAGTGGGACACCCGCTGACAGCTGATGAGTTATCCACTGTTAAGGACACTGTGTCTGGCTTCCTTAACAACCAGCTACCGTGCGCTAAATTGGCGCAATACAGATATATTTTACCGCAAGAGTTATATACCGCAAAATTCTTAGTGAATTGGACATTTGCAGAAAATGTACCACATGCGTTATTTTACCGCATTTTTTTCAGTCGTTATTTAACTTTTGTGAATCGATCCCATAGTGGCTTGGGATGGCTACACTCACTCTTCCACTGCATTTATGGAGGAGCACTATAGCCACCCTCTGACCATGGCATTATCAACCTGTGGAGAGGGTAGTGTTAGATGGGCTAGTAGGTTTAGAATGTATTTACACAAGTTTATTACACATTTAACTTATCTCCAGCTAGGGTTTTTTCCTTTTTTTGGATAAAGGTTTTAACTAAAGTTTAATAAAAGCTGACCAATGCAAGCCCCTGTCAGTGGATTGTTTCTCTCCCCCCCCCCCCCCCCCCCCCCCCCCCATTACCTTTCCAACCTGGTGATTTTGGGCAGTAACACACTTCCTGCCTTGGTGTGTCTCCACTCTGGATAGAGGAGCAGAAGAGCCACCTTTTGGGAAGCTGCATTGTCAGTCTGAGGAGAGGGCAAATAGGACAAATGATTTTACATAAATGAATAAAAGCTGACCATTGTCAGCACCCTTGCCAGTGGTAAATGGTTTGTCTCAGCCCTCTAACTGCTACTTTTTCTGGACAGCTTGTTCTATAAGGGAAGTTAAAACCGACTTAAAGCGGATCTCCAGGCTTCCCCCAAAAAATTCAGTGAGCCGGTGCAAATACTGTTGGTATTGCTGGTTTCCTACTGCACATTCATAAAGCGTGCTGCACTTTGTGAACTGGTTGCAGTCTTCTGGGACCTGTGAATTGTCCCAGAAGGCTGTGGGGGATGGAGGGGGACCGAACTTCTGGCTCAGATAGTCACGGTGCACCAACCAGGTGAAAAAAAAAAACGGTACTTCCCTCGTTCAAGTGTTTGTAGTTTTTGCATTAAACAGCAGAGATTGCATTCACCAGATGCTCTTCTAATGTGATCAATGACTATTGTGCTACAAATGTGCTGGGGACACATTAATCACGCCAAGGTCCTATACATTTAAATAGTGTCCTTGTGCTTGTATTCATAGAATTCTTGATAATAGTTCAAGTATACTGGTAACAACCCTTACCGCTGAACGATCAAAACCGGCTACTTTTTATGTGTTTATTTAGTTGTTGATTTATACTTGCATTTTGTGGAATGTAATTTTAAGTTATACTTTCTGTTTGGGTAACCTTCCTATATTTTTATTCCAGAAAATGGAATTTAACCAGATCAATATCTTTTTCTATTCAGCTATCCACAGACTATTAAAAAGCAGTGGACCTAAAACTATACCTTACAGCATCATTACTCTGTCTCACTAGGCTAATCATAATAGGTTCTATTAACTGACTGTGTTGACATCCAATTAATCAATTGATTGTCCTATAGAAAATTCAGCTTTGTGTCTATTAATCCTTGTACCAAGCTCTTTGGTGCGGCAATGAACATAAAAATATGATAATAACTGTCTCTTGGAGTGGAATATAAAATTCCTTTTGCTTCTATATTTTTTTTTTTTCTCTATTCCAGGGCCAGGCCGTCCATTCAAAGCTATTGATTTCTCACACAAGGGTCCTGCATTTGTTACTTGGCATCGATATCACTTGTTGTGGCTGGAGAGAGATTTACAGGTAATGTGGGTATAAACCATCATCAACAAGAGGTGTTTTTAATACAAACTTTTTTCTTACATTCCCGCTCAATGAAGTTAAAATTTGCTGCTACATGGGAGAACATTTGTTGGCTCTGTCTTTGGGCAACCGTGTTTGTCAGAAGCCTATCAGATTTACGAGATAGAGGTTATACAAAATGTTTCATGTTCTGAGACAATGGAGGACTAAAACTGATGCGCTCAGAATCTGGTGCAGCTGTGCATGGTCACCAATCTGCTACTAACTTCAATTTGTTCAGTTAAGCTTTGACAATAAAACCTCGAAGCTGATAGGTGTCTGTGCAGAACTGCACCAGAGATTTTGCACTCCATGTTTGATAAATCTCCCACCAGGTTTGCTTTAAAAACACTTTCTTGAGCACTTTTCTATTAGCAGCCAGGCAAAGAATCCTTTGGCATTGGAAATCTACAAACCTAAATGAGAAGTAATTTGCTTGCTCCTCTCAAAATGGCTTATACTACCTAAAATGGAATTAGGCCCTAATAACTTTTACAGCCAAGGAAGCTGCAATCTTGGCTTTTGCTTGATTTGTAGTCGCCATGGTGCTGCACATGTGATCAGTTATCACACCAGCCATTTGATGGCTTGACAGTTTGGTTGAGAGCACAAGCAACTCTGACAGTTATCATTCATGGCATGCCTTGATTGTAACTGTTTTGGGAAACTGTTAAATGGATGGGTTTAGTTCTGCTTTAATACATATCTAAAGACAAAATTTTAAAGGGAAGGGCTAGAACCTCTGAGGTTTTTATTGCTGCCTGTGTGGAAATTCACCCAATGGGATGAAGAACTTGCTAAGAAACCTAGAACCTGGCCTTAGGTAATAATTTAAAACCCTAATGGCAACTACCAGACTGTGCTGGTCCCTTATAGCCTCAATACTCAATGGATATATCTACATGGATGTAGTAATTTTTAGCCTTATACAGCCTAATCATCTAATCATGCAATGTATGTAGAGAAAAACATACTAAATGGAGGATAGTAATTTTTGCAATTTTTTTTTTTTTTTTTTTTTTTTTTTTTTTTGCTACTTGTTATTACAGAAAATGCTTGGAAATGACTCATTTGCTTTACCATACTGGAATTTTGCAACTGGAAGAAATGAGTGTGATGTCTGCACAGATGAACTGTTTGGTGCACCCAGACCAGATGACCCCACTTTAATAAGTCTTGGTTCCAGGTTTTCACGCTGGGAGATAGTGTGTAATAGGTAACCTTCCTCTTTTAAATCAGTTGAATAAATAAGGTTTATGGTAGGAGTGTGATGATGGGACAATGATATTCCAAGTCTCTCCCAACTGCAGGGAAATAATTTGTCACATTGGATCGCATGGATGGGAGAGATGTTTAAGGGGCCTTGGAGAAGTCCATCACTGACTTGAAATGCCTTATTGCTTAGAAACACAGATGGTTATAGGTTCGAATAGGCAGTTATCATTATAACTGATATTTATTATTATTATTATTATTATTATTAATAATTTTATTATTATTTTTAGTTCAGGTAGTATTGGAGTATGGCACTTACTTGAATTTTAAAACTATGCACTTCCATATTTTCATTTTTTGTATTGCAAAAGTCCTAAGCATGTATATACTGCAATACTCTATCAATAACAGAAATTCAGTTCTGTGCAACTACTGTTGTGCTTTGCATGCTTGAAATACACACAAAAACATTATACCTTGTAAAAGTCGCATATGAGCTGACATTGATTGCTCTATACCCTTACCTAACTTTATATAGTGTTGGCAAATGTAAGTGGAGTACCAGCCAATTTTCTAATTTAATAATGGTAAAAAGTTAAAATTGTGGCGTGTGGGTTCCCCCCCGTTCCCAGTTGGAAGTTCTACTTTCACTTCATGTACTAGAAACCTAGAACATGAGGGGTCTTTCTCAAACAAGGTGTGCTGGATCACTTGAATGTGGTTTGAACCGCTTCCAATCCTCATGACATGTGAAATAACATTGCTCCTATAGTGCCTGCTCACATATGTCCGGTGCACTGGCAGTGCGGATTCAGTGCGGACTGAAAGAGTCCTGTCTGAATTCTGAGCAGTGCGTTCCGGTTCAGGTACGGATTACAGGCTATTGGGAATAATTTCTAAATCGCACATGTCATCAGTTGTGAACAGGATAAAATCCTGACCTAAACCTGATGTAAACCTGACCTGAACTACTGTATCAATTAGTTGTGACACCTGAGCTTCAATCCGCACTGCACATGTGTGAATTAGCACGGACACTAATGACTACAATAAAATAAACTACAAAGTTTTAATTGGACAAGAAAACACTCTTAAAAACTTCTTTGATTTGAAAATTCATGTTTTGTTAAACTTTAATTTTTCCATTTTAAAATCCTAGTCTGGATGAGTACAATCGTCTTGTTACACTGTGCAATGGAACTAGTGAAGGTTTTATTCGCCGAACCCCAATAGACAGATTTGGTGGGCGACTGCCAAACACAGAGGATGTACAGAAATGCCTTTCCCTCACAGAGTTTGATAATCCTCCTTACTATTCAAACTCTACTTTTAGCTTCAGGTACGTATTTTGTCAGTGAATTTGTTTACTTTTAACTTACAAAATTGTTTTAGTAAATACGCAACAGTTGTAAACCATATATACCATACCCCTTGAATACTGTGAATCAAAATAAATACAAATTATTGCCTCTATAACTCATGTGCAAAAACAGAACAGGCTGGATGTCAGATGTTGCTGACGAAATGCGTTGGATGGAGCTTCTGTGATATGTCCCTTCCGGTTGGTGGAATGCAAACTGGTGTTCCTTTCTGGTGATTTTATGTGCTTCATTGATTTTAACTAATGTAAGCACAATTTATAGAGGTGTGTGTTTTTTTTTTTTTTTTTTTTTTTTTTTTTTTTTTTTAAATTAACTTTTACTACATTATGAGGAGGTCCTCTGTCTTTCCCTCTGAGGGAGATTTTTTTTCCCCATCTAGAGTCTCTTGCTTTACATTTGGGAATATCTGATGTGGTCTGTATATGCAAGTCAGCTAATACAAGAAGATATCTATTTGTGGCACTCCAAGCGTTTTGTGACCTTCTTTGAGAGAAGAGGACATATATCTTTGAGTGCGGTGTTACTTTTTCTGGGAAGAGAGGAGTAGCACTTATTTCTTGGGTGACTTTATCTTTGCACACTGGAAATGAAAGCCGTATATGAAGCTTCAAAAGAATGGACTTTTATTATTCTATCAAAGCATTCACATTATCTGTTTTTGCACATGAGTTAGAGGCAATAAGTTGTATTCATTTTTGATTCACAGTATTCAAGGAGTGCGGTATATATTGTTTACATGTTTTGAGGCTTTTAAGCTTACCAACAAGCAGCACCATATTTATATTTGCCAAGGTTTAAGGGGAGTGTGATCTTGGGGATTCACAAATACACAATCTTTTTCTGAGAAGAACCCGAAATCCTGCTTTTGCGGACTTCTCATTCTGCAGATGTTAGCTGTTTGCCTGTCTTGGCCAGTGCCCGCGCTTTGAGTTTTCTTCAATGCATGAAGTTAATAACAAAAACAAATATTCAGTTAAAGTGTTCCTGGCTCCGTCCTGACTTTCCTGATTTTCATACTTGTTACAGATCAGTGCCTTATCTGCATAATGGCAATGCATCTAGCAATCTAGCATGTTTTCCATTGATCCCATTCTGCCAGGGACAGTCTCTGATTAAGTGGTCTTCCCTCTGCAAACCTGGTAGCAGTGGTATAACTGGGGGCATATGGCCAGTGATAGGGTAGTGCAGGTTATCAAAAAACAGAAAATGCCATCATAAAGGGTGTAACCACCCATCAAAAGGGTCTCTCTGACTCACCCTATATTTGGGTGTGGATTATAAACCGAGTATGAGCAGATTTAGAAAAAGTTAGCAGTCAACTAGAGCAAACTGCAAAAACGAACGGTATTTTTTTAAATTCAATGCAGAGTAATCAGAGAACATCAATAGTAGATGCAAATAATTTCTTTATTATCACTAGGATCCTCTGAAAAGGTGGGCATATGACATGGTGAACACACAGTCAATCAAAATTAAAAACCGTGAGTTCAAAACAAAAAAAAGTCCTGCGTGTACACTTAGCTGGATCATGGTGATTAAGTGTATGGCTGGGAAACCGGTAATTATCGATAGGAAGAAATCTTCATATAGGAGAGGTTATAGTCATGTATGGAGAGTCTACTTTCAATATGGTCGGAATGATTCTATCTTCACAATTATAGGGTGAGTCAGAGAGACCCTTTTGATGGGTGGTTACACCCTTTATGATGGCATTTTCTGTTTTTTTGTTTATGCTTCAATATGAAGGTCTTTTGTACCTGTTCGGCCATTCTTTATATAGGAATGATTCTTCACAAAATTATTAATGTGAAATATTTTGGCTATACATGGTGAACACACTTTGATCATTTGGGATGGCTTATCAGATTGGTGAAGATTTAGATGCAGAAATACATTCTGCTTTCTTTAAAGCTATGAACCAGGCCACAGACGACCATATAGGGGAGATTAAAAACAAATTTAAAAATCATACAAAATTAACAATAAAATACTTAAATCGAAAATGGGATATTACATCATTAGAGTAAAATATTGAGAATGGAATCATCCCCAGAGGATTAAGGGAGAAGGTAATTCCAGCTGAACATCTCCACACTCCAAGATTCTTGGAAAAATGGAAGGATAAATGTATAAAGCATGGTATAGAAATCATGCGCCTTATAGTTGAAGAAAAAATTCAACCAACCAAATTATCTGAACAAATTGATATAAGCACTAAATCACTTGATCCTTTTAAAGATGATCCAGAATTGAATAACTATAATGAGCTTCTTAAAAAAAAAAAAAAAAGAGATTGAAAAGGTTCAAAAGAATCTGAAATTTACACAACAAAAATTTAAAAGGAATATAGAAGATTGGGGCAAGGATGAAATATTTGATTTATCCAATACACGTGGAAGGAGTAGATTCAAACGTAAATATACGTCACGTAAAAACAAACCTGGATTCTCTATTAGTGAAGACGATGAGGATCCTAATGTCCACCCAAAGGACTGGTCAAACAGTGCAGTTGTCAGGCTCAGCTGATGTATCAAGGACTGGCAGATAGGTCCCCCAGATAATCCAAACAATCTGCCAGTCCTTGATGCATCCGCTGAGCCTGATAACTGCGCTGTTAGACCAGTCCTTCGGGTGGTCAAACTCTCGGGTAAGAGGCTGTGTGAGTGGAAGGTGAAAGACTTTATTCTTTTTTGGGTTCTGGCTTCTTGCAAAGCACCAGCACTTCCAAATTATTTGGACTTTTTTTTAATTTGTTTATTTGTGTTTATCTATATGTGACTTCTCACCCTTGTTAGATGATTGGTTATTAATAAACATGTATCATCAGTTAAGCGCTACATTGATAGTTCTTTATATGATAATTGCTTATTGTTGGGGCAGGTACAATTGATGGGAATTCAAAATACTGATGGTGTGATAGCATTGTAAGAAGCTTACAATTTATATGCAATGAGGTTTTGAGGAAGCTAACCAAGAGACATGCTCTGGTACCTAATATTGAGCAGATTTTCAGGGTGGAGCATTATTTTATCAACTGGCTCCCAAAGTAGGAACTGAATTTTGGTTAAAAGACAGTATCTTCCCCTGATAGTGTGTGTGTGTGTGTGTGTGTGTGTGTGTGTGTGTGTGTGTGTGTCCGTGTCCGTGTCCGTCCAAGTCATTGTTTTTCCTTTTGCTATACTGGATGACTGACAATTTTTTTATTTATATATTTTAAATAAAGGAATGCACTTGAAGGCTTTGAGGAACCGGATGGAACATTGGATCTTCCTATAATGAATCTCCATAACTTAGTTCATGATTTCTTAAATGGAACCAGTGCCCTGTCCCATTCTGCAGCCAATGACCCCATTTTTGTGGTACTATGTCCTTTCTTTGAATTACTACAAATGTGTAACTGACCAGTCCAAGAAAACTTGAATTTCTATAGTCCTGACACATTGGACAGGGATTTATGTGAATGGGTCTGTGTACTCTACTGCATAGAGTATTTAACTTGCTTCTGTTGTGTAATCATGGTGTGCCTTATGCTGGGCTGAATGATCAACATGGCATTCTTAATCCATTCAGGCCTGGAAAGGCCCTGTTCCCCTGAGCACATTGAGATACTGTTTTTACACACGGCTCCTTCAGGCATCTAAAGAACATAAAAGCTTCTGTCGCTCACCCTTAGCATGAGCTCATCCCTTTAGAGACACTCAACTTGGCCTATGCTGCGTCCTCCAGTTGTTTCCGCATTTCTGCTATGACTTACAGTATCGAGTTGCACAAGCCCATTACCAGAAAATGCTCCCAATGGGGGTTAGAAGGAAGTCCACGAGCAGAAAGCCTTTTAACCTTTTTTACTTATACAGTTTACCAATGTCAACTTCAGTTATTCTGATCCCAGAATACACACACCTTCAATTGGAAGGCTTTTGATAGTTGGCTTGAGCCAAGGAGTTGCTCAGAGTCCCTGCATCCCTAGCCAGTGATGTTCATTGACCATTAGACCTCTCTTTAATTCCTTTCTACTACCTTAATTAATGTGCACTAAGAACTGCGGGTGTGTGTGTTTTTTTTTAATATAAACATATGTCAACGATTCATCTATAAACCTCTCCTGACATGAACATCTTCATATTTGTAGGTTTTGCATTCTTTTACTGATGCAATTTTTGATGAATGGATGAAGCGTTTCCAGCCTTCTGATGCAGTGTGGCCCCAGGAACTGGCACCAATAGGACACAACCGTTTGTACAACATAGTGCCTTTCTTTCCTCCAGTAACTAATGATGCGCTGTTCCTTCCTGCAGAAGAGTTGGGCTACACATATGCTATTGAGCTACCAGGTATGTGTATAAAATATACTTGCTAGAAACTTGAACAAATAGAAATATGTCAGAATGATCTGCATACTTGTTCTTAGAAAGCACTAATGTAATTGGATCCATGTCAGTCGGTCAAGGTAACCTATAATGTAACCAACTTCTGTAAAGTGTGGGGTGTGGTGTGTTTTTTTTTTTTTTTTTTTTTTTTTTTTTTTTTTCTTTTTTTTTTTTTTTTTTCTTTTCTTTTTCCTAGTCTATTATTATTTTTCAATCACTAGGCCCTCTGATGGCTTGCTGTCTTATTGCAAGCTACTCCAGTTGTAGACTACTGGTGGAGGCAAGAACACTTCACACAATTTCCCCAGAAATTGTAGCTTTTCTAGTTGCAAGCTATATTTACATTGTATTGTATGGTATGGTATGGTGTTTTCCTTTATATCTGCTGTTAGGGGCGGACTGACCATTTGGGAACTCTGGCACTGCCCGAGGGCCTGGGGTCAGTAGGGGGCCCCATGACATGCCCCTGGTACCTTTCGTAGACTTTTTTGAGTGTGGGTGAGGACACAGGGGCCCCATGATCCTCTATTGCCGGGGGCCCCATGAGTTGTCAGTCCGCCCCTGCCTGTTGTAGGGGATTATAGCTTTTCAGCTGTGGCACTTTTGGCTCATTTTTACAGTCCCAACATCTCTACCCCTTTTTGAGTCTGCTGGAGACTTGTTTCACGGTTTCCTCTTGCAAGGTGGTCTGAGCTACAGGTTTGTGTTTTTCATCTATATTTCCACTGTGTTATGATTATTTTTTATTTATTTTTTTGTATCTGAGCTTCCCTGCATTGCGAGGTATACTGTAAGATTTTGGAGGGCCTACAAGGGCTATTTTTGTTTCTTTGTTATGCTTTATAACAATAAAAATATTGAAATCAAAATGAATTAGTAAAAAGTTGCTTGCCCTTCATGTGGCTTATTTTGGCCCCATTTTTTGCCTATGGTTATGAATTTTTACACCTGCTGTAAAGCAGGGGGGAGAGACTGCAGGTGTACAGTGGCAGCTTGTGCCAGCTCAGCAGATGCTGTTGTATTGTATACAGCACTGTACTATAATGTGGCAGTGTGCATTACCAGGTAATGGAGCCACACCCTGCACCATCATATCATACTTCTTAGTTCTTGTATGTTTGCGCTATCACTGATCATATTTCAAAGAATGCATGTAATCCAAGCAGTGTCCCAAGTTCTTTAAAATGTGTGAAGAAACATTCGCTTAAATCAGCCCCTGTAGATATTTATCATTGTATATGAATAGTCAAGCATGACCTAGCATGCACAGTAAATGCTTCTAATCCTGTTTTTTGGGTTTTTTTCCCATCTGTCCCCAGCTTCTGATGCAGACATTCGGGCAGCAGGAGTCCTTGTGGCATCAACTGTTGGAGGAGTACTTATTGCCTTACTTGTAGTTCTACTTCTCCTTGTTCTCTTCATGCATAGAAAACAGCGACATGGCTTTGAACCATTACTGAATGCAAAATACCAAAGCACAAAATACACAGACGATGCCTAAAGTAATTTTCGGTGTAGGCATCTCCTACCTAACAACAATACATTTTAGTACTGCATTTATATTCACAAAGTATGCCATTTGGTCTATTCTGAAACACCATTATAAAGTGAACTTGTTTTGAAGCAAAACACACTGTAGTCTATACAAATTGTGTATTTAGCTTATATTTGCCAGGGTAGCAAAAAGTAAGAAACATAGTTACACTTGGTGTTCATTACCTTTCTTTTTACTTAAATATAACACCCCCCCCCCCCAAAAAAAAAAAAAAAAAAAAAAAAAAGCAGGCATGTAATGCTGAGTTTTTGGTTGACAATAGCTGGGAGGGTATAATTGTGTGGTGTTGTCCCAGGTCATAGTGAGAGGTATGGAAATACTTGTGGAAGCTGCATATCTACACAACACATTTCACTACAAAATAATGTAGCCTGGTGAATGTAAATGCTATTAAACCTGACTTTTTTTTTTTTTTTTTTAAATACCCATGCAGACCTTATAAACTACATATTTGTTTTTGCTTTTGTTTACCACTTCATTTGGTGATCTCTGTATGGTATCTGTTCTAGTATGTCTGACTTTATATTTATATTAGAAGAACCTATGCAGTTTTGTCATAAAAGTAAAATTGTTGGGCAATTGTGCACTTTTTTTTTTCTGTTCTGCAGAAAACAGAAAGAAAAGGCTAATGACTTGTTACAAATCCAAAGATTATGTCTTTCTGACCAAATATAACAGACATTAAAGGATATGTAAACCCAACAGTTCATGTTCCTGATATGTGCCTACTCTACCATGTACTTGTGTGAAAAAATATCCTGTTCTCTCTGTATTGCTTCCTTTTTGTGTGACATCTCTGGGGTTCCTGACAGTCCCTCTGCGGTTCTATTAAAAACTGACCACACTACGTATGCAGGAGAACACACCGTGGTCAGTTCTATAGCTATACTGGTAACTCAGCCTGCTCGCCTCCAATGATTGTACTTGTTCTGACATCAAACTCCCCCCTCCCCACCCTCTTACTGGGAAGCTCAGTGTATTGCTGTTTCTCCTCCCCCAGCTGAAAACAACAGAGAGAGAATATGATCACTTATAATAAGGGGAAAGAAGGTATTTTATAATGTGGTGTTTTTTGTTTTTTTTTTTCCCCAGAAAGGAATAACCATTGATCTGAAGAATGAAACTTCATTGGAATCATGAATTGTGATTAAGTGCATTTAGGTGACCTTTTTGAGTGTAAAAAGAAAAAAAAATATGGAACCGCATAACCACGGTATCAGGTTCATAAGAACTAATTGACATCCTAAGGCACTTTCCTCTGAAGCACTCTTCTTGCTGATGTTAATTTGGCAAATTAAAAATGACTACACTATATCTGAGCGCCAAACACAAAAAGTACTATTTAATTCATTTTTAATATTCAAAGCAGACTTGCTGAGAAATCATTTAGAAAAACAACCCCCTCACATTTTTGGCTGTGGCCATCTTGAGTAAGGGTAGATGATTCATGTAGCATTTACTTCCTGGAATCCATCTTCCCTTGTCTCAGGCATACAGGCAGGAGGGTGTGCTTAGTGGGGTAAAATCCCTCCTCCCTTCCTGAAGACTCTGGGGATGTATGACGTAATGTGCTTAGGTATGGAAACTAGGAAGTAACTAAGAAATATGAAAAAAAAAAAAGGTTAAATCAAGTGAATATAAAATACTCTCCTATCTACAGTATTAACTAATGCTGGCAGCATAAGGATTCAGAACAGTCAATGTTGCTTGAGAGAGTGCATTTCTGCTTTAAGACACAGTCTGTCAATAGTAAATGAGGCATTTTATGTGAGCCCCCTATAACTTAAAACAGAGCTCCACCTACAAGGGGAAGTTCCGCTTTAAGGACTGCTCCCCATTAAGGATTGGCACCTTTGGGGGGGCGAGCAGGTACCTGAATTTAACAGGTTCCCACTTCTGGTCTGCTTGTCTAGGTGATTGGAAATGGAAGGTGTCCTCTCTCCCTCTCTCCCTGTAGTCTTTTTGGGACACGTAACAGGTCCTAGAAGACTACAGGACCATTCAGGAAGCACAGCGCTACTTGCGCATGCGCAGTGGGTACCCGGCTGTGAAGCCGCAAGCTATCACAGCCGGGTGCCCACACTGAAGATGCTGGCCTCCTGGGGGGCAGGTAAGTGGCTTTTTTTTCTTTTTTTTTTTTTTTTTTTTTTTATTTTTTTTAAAGTCAGCAGCTACAGTTTTTGGAGCTGCTGACTTTTATATTTTGATAGGGTGAGTGGAACTCTGCTTTAAGTGTTTTTTTTTTTTTACTTGTTCCGCCTGATGTTGTTCAACTCTCTTTTCACAGACCAAGCTGTGCAGCAAAAATGGAAGTTAGAGGGTTGAGACAAACAATTTGACATTGACAAGGGTTCTTATAATGGTCAGATTGTTTTCTTTAGTTGAAAAATGTTATCCCAAATCGGATAAAACATTGTTTCTGTTACTACTTAATCAGTTCATGACCGCGCTATAGCCAAAAGATGGCTACAGCACGGTGGGCTAGTTCTTGGAGGGTGTCCATGGACATCCTGCCAGAACCGCACCTCCTGCACGCCATCGGTCACAGCTGATTCCATGGCTATGGAACGGGCCAATCACAGCCGCTTTTATCATGTGACCAGCTGTGTCCAATCACAGCTGATCACTGGGTATATAAGAAATGCCGGTTATTGGCAGTCCTCTCCTCATGCTGACAGTGCCTGAGGAGAGCTGGTAAGTGGTATTTTGCAGGGGGGCATCTACACTGATCATCAGTGTCCTAGTAATCAGTGTAGCCATCAGTGCCCAAGTATGCTGGCAATCAGTGCTGCCCATCGGTGCTACCTATCAATGAAGAAGAAAATGTACTAATCTTTTATAACAGAAACTAAAAAAAAAGTTTTTTTTTTTTTTTTGTTTAGCAAAAAATAAAAACCCTAGTGGTGATCAAATACCACCAAAAGAAAGCTCTATATGACTAAAAAAAAAATTATTTTGGGTAGAGCGTTGCATGAACGTGCAATTGTCATTCAAAGTATGAGAGCACTGAAAGCTGAAAATTGGTCTGGGCAGGAAGGGGGTAAAAGTGCCTGGTAGGCAAGTGGTTAAAAAGTGTTAGCTGGAGCAGGGCATTAATTTTAGTCACTTATGTACTTGTCCATCTAGCATTACCCTCTCCAGACAGTACTGCTGTCCAAGGGTGACTCCACGGATGGAGGAGCCACCACATTTAGGAAATAGCTGCAATATTGTACATTTTATTAATAATCAAATAGCACCAGCAATCAATCTTCCAATCATATATCAATCATGTAATTCATGCAAAATAATTTTTTACAACAATATATAAATAAAAACAACCAGTGGTCTGACTGACACACGGGACACTACTTAAAATCAATATCATCACACTATATATGATATATTTAGGGGCAGAGCCATCATATATAGCACTGTTTTATATGCTTTTATGCTGTGGTGCACCAGATTTTAAAGTGCACTGTCCCAAGTTAGGGTATACGGTTTATTTATTAATAAAAATGTTTTAAATGAAACAATAAGCATGAATAAAGTTTTATTTTAGTTTTTGAGCCACATACTGCAGTCTTCTGCTGGAAGGAATTGGATGGTCTCAGCTTGAGGTGAAGGTCTTGAGGATAAGTCCTGACTCCTGGGAGCAAGTAAAATAAACCCATTAAAGGAAAAGACATACACAGACATATTTTCCCATATAAGTCCATTACTCCATGTGAGCATATATGGTGGTGGACCACGATTTTGGGATGTCTGCTATGGATTTTTTCACAGAAACTTTGTGGAGATTCACCAAAACGAGAGTGCAAAATAGAAACCAATCAGCTTCCAGGTTTTATTGTCAAAGCTTAACTGAACAAGCTGAAGTTAGAATCTGGTGCAGCTGTGCATGATAGCCAATCAGTTTATGAGTACTCCAGTTTTAGTAACCTTCCCCATTATGTGATTGTAACAACACGGTGGACTATATTTTTAGTTTTTTCATATGTTGTATCACTTGTTAACATGAAGAATTATTATTATAGGGAATAGATTGTGGTGATATTGATTAAGCAGTGTCACATAATTTTCAGCATGCTGGTTTTTTTTATCTATATATATATATCTCTATCAAAAATATTGTGCATAAAGAATATATGATTGTAAGGGTGATTGTGAGGCACTATTCGAATAGTAATTAATTGTTGATGGGAACACGTCAGTGCAAGCTGCAATCAACACACATTAATACACATTTTTGTGGTGGTTCGACAAGGTATTTTTAATCAGAATATAGTATATTTTGATTTGGGGTTTAATACCGCTTTAAGGCACCCACAAAACAGAAATCTAATGACTCTGATGGAGATGTGGAAGATGTGAACTAAAGGCAAACCCCACCTACTAAAAAGCTTTTTATGGAGGTTTAGTGATCAAATTGGCTAAGTAAACTCATAATACACTTTTATGGTTGGTCCATTTCACCTAAGACAATGGAGATACAAGGAGAATCCTAATCCTTCAATAAGCTAACTTTCAAGCCTATTCACCAATCCAGTCAAGATGAACAAGCAAGGGTGTAATGGAGTTGCAGTGATGAAAGACTAAAGGCTTAATATGAAAAATTGGTAAATCTCTGTCAACTAATAGGCTGTCTTGGTGCTCACAACGTTATTGATGACAGAATACAAACAAGCAATAGATGTTGACCCATTTATATGCCTTGATCTTCATACAAAGTGAGCAGAGATGGAAACTGTGGCCCTGGGAGAGCAAGTTTGCAATTTTAGGAAGAGGAATTGAATGCCAGATAAGTGTAAACATGGGGCAACTGGGAATGGTGACAACAGTAAGAGTGGCAGATAGTCAGGTTGGACTTTGGTTCAAAGTTAAATTTTGAGATATGAATCAATTGGGATCAATTGATGATGTTCTTTTGTGAAAGAAAGCTGACTTATGAATCTGAGATGCCTTTGAACCCTTCAAATTACACACGACAGACACTTTAATTTTTATTATCTTCATATTCTTTGATGCCAGCAGAATGGAAGAGGTATAGACTTAAGCTGTCCATACATGGTTCAGTGAGTTATCGGTACTGGGGGGGCACTGTTCTCACTGGGGGGGACAAAGAGAACACTGGGGTGCAGCAGGAGACAAAGGGGGCACTGGTGCTCAGTGTGTGTGTTTGTGGGGGGGTGCAGGGTACTTTTGCTCAGTGAAGGGGAAAAAGGGGCACTGGTGCTCAGTCCGGAGAGATGGGGGATCCTGGTGCTCAGTGGGTGAACAAGGGGGCATGGGTACTCATTCCGGGGAGATGGGGGTCCTGGTCAGGGCTGCTATTAGAAACCATAGGACCCCATACAGCCATCCTTACAGGCCCCCCCCCAAAAAACAAACAACCCTGACTCTCACAGTTATGAATGAACACAGTAACAATCACTCATCGTGTTCATTCAAAAAAAGAAGGGCTGGTAAATGTGACATATTTACCAGACCCTTCCCCCACTCCTCATCCTGGATCCTATTGTGTGCTTGCTGCTGCCGGTGGTAAAAAGAAGAGGGAAGCCAGCAGCACTGCAAGGGTGGGGGCACACAGGTGGGCCCTGGGCAGCAGCGGGAAATGTATGGTGCACAGATAGGGTGATGGGTGCTGTGGGGGGGGGGGGATAATTACTGGAAACGATCCCCTGTATGACTCTGCAGCAGCTGAAAGCCAGAAGAAGCCAGCTTTCAGCTGCTTCAGAGAGAACTGTACAGGGGATCGGTTCTAGTAATTACCCCCCTTAGTGCTGATCACCTTCCCTGACCACATCTTATTCATCTATCTGCATGGGTCCCCCTGCTGTCCTGGGCCCCGTACAGGAGGGCTGGTGGTAGTCCCTTATCCACGGCCCTGGGGGGGAGATGAGGGTCCTGGTGCTTAGTGGGGGCATTGCCAATCAGTGGGGGAGAGGAGCATTGGTGCTCAATGGGGGGAGATGGGGGTCCTGGTGCATAGGTGGAGCAGACTGGGGGCATTGCCAATCAGTGGGGGAGAGGAGCACTGGTGCTCAATGGGGGAAATGGGGGTCCTGGTGCTTAGTTTGGGCAGATTGGGGGCATTGCCAATCAGTGGGGGAGAGGAGCACTGGTGCTCAATGGGGGGAGATGAGGGTCCTGGTGCTTAGTGGGGGAGAGGAGCACTGGTGCTCAATGGGGGGAGATGGGGGTCCTGGTGCTTAATGGGGGCATTGCCAGTCAGTGGGGGAGAGGAGCACTGGTGCTCAATGGGGGGAGATGTGGGTCCTGGTGCTTAGTTTGGGCAGATTGGGGGCATTGCCAATCAGTGGGGGAAAGGAGCACTTTTGCTCAATTCCTGGATCCTTGATACCATCTGGAATTCTGAAGAATAATCATCCCCTCTCTGTTCTTGTCTGCTGATCTTTCTCCAGACAAATGCAGTGGCAACTCAGATGATTACTGCTGCCACTTGTGAACAAAGTGCAGAAAGCAATAGAAGACTTCCTCTACTTACTTATCTGCTGGACTCTGACTGATGATATCATCTAATGCAGAACCCAGCAGAGGAACCCAGTGGTGGAAGTCTTCCTTAGCTGCCGCTGTTTGTTTACTTGGCTAATCTGTCCCTGCACCCACATCCCTGACATCCATCGAGACACGCCGGCCACAGGAGTAGCGATACCACTGTCACTACTCCTGTCAACGGTGGTACTCCTTTCAATGCAGCACCTGGGACACATGCTCCCCCTAGCCCCATAGTTTTGCTTATAGCTTCAGGTGTGGAAGTACTTTTTGAGGGTTAGATGTTAGATATTGCTGTGGACTGTGACTGCTCACATAGGGCTACAGATTTACTGGCTGTGCCCCTGCACTATCCGCATTATTTTGAGGTTGCTACTGAATCGCCAAATACTGCTGGAACAGGATTGTTCAGGGAATCCACAATTTTGTGTCTGGAGCATCTTGCAACCCTAAACCCTCTTCCCTGCATTTTTTTTTCAAGATCTGCAACAAACCTCAAAGACATCCCTAAACTAAACTTGAAATTGCCTATGTTTTTCTGGTACTAAAAACAGGGCAACCTCTGGCCAGGTAAGGGGGACCCAATCTGTTTCTAGCTTCCCCTTTGAGGGTTAACACTACCTGATCATACAGTCATTTTACAGTTTCTGTTTCTTTAAAGTTCAAATGTTATGACATTAGTCTAATCAATTTTACAGTATTTATAGTGATTAACTATACATACATACATACAGTACTGGATATTTATTCATTTAAATGTTTTTGCATACTAAATGTATATTTACATTTTGTAATTTGTTTCATTAGTTGCTTTTCTGGAAGCTATGCAATATCATTTATATTTGAATGCAATGTGATTAAAACAATTTTTATTACACATAGAACCATTTAAATGGTAGTCAACTGCCATCTTGTGGTTAATGGGGAACATGATGAATTGATGATGACTGCTGAGTGACAAATAAATTACTACAGAATCAAAGGCAGTAATTATGATTTAAATGTGCTGTGCTGTGCTAAGCTACAGTGTACACACAGACACACAAACGTCGGGGCATGCTCCTAATGAGACGATGGATGGTGTCCTGGAGTATTTCCTCCCAGATCTGGACCAGGACATCACTGAGCTCCTGGACAGTCTGTGGTGCAACCTAGCGGAGTCGGATGGACCAAAACATGATATTCCAGAGGTGTTCTATTGAATTTAGGTCAGGCAAGCGTGGGGACCATTCAATGATATCAATTTCTTCATCCTCCAGAAACTGCCTGCATACTCTCGCAGCATGAGGCAGGGCATTGTCATGCACCAGGAGGAACCCAGAACCCACTGCACCAGTGTATGTTGGCGGACCTGACAATTCTAGCATTCAATGCAAATGCCAGTTGAGCTCTATGGTGCCGGGCAGTAAGCATAGGGCCCACTAGAGGACATCGGGCCCTCAGGCCACCCTCATGAAGTCTGATTGTTTGGTCAGAGACATTCACACCTGTGGCCTGCTGGAGGTCATTTTATAGGGCTCTGGCAGTGCTCAGCCTGTTCCTCCTTGCACAAAGGAGCAGATAGTGGTCCTGCTGATGGGTTAAGGACCTTCTATGGCCCTGTCTAACTCTCCTAGAGTAACTGCCTGTCTCCTGGAATCTCCTCTATGCTCTTGAGACTGTGCTGGGAGACACAGCAAACCTTCTGGCAATGGCACATATTGATGTGCCATCCTGGAGGCGTTTTGGACTGCCTGTGCATCCTCTGTAGGGTCCAGGTATCACCTCATGCTACCAGTAGTGACACTCACTATAGCCAAATGCCAAACTAGTGAAAAACAGTCTGAAAAGATGAGTAGGGCAAAAAATGTCAGTGACCTCCACCTGTAAAAACCATTCCTGTTTTGGGGTTTGTCTCATTGTTGCCCATCTAGTGCACCTATTGTTAATTTAATTAATACCAACGCAGCTGAAGCTGATTACCAACCCACCTCTGTAACTTAACTGACCATATCAATATCGCAGGAGTTTAATTGACTTGATGCTATACTCTGATTAAGTGTTCCTTTAGTTTTTTTTGAGCAGTGTATATACTATTTTGCCAAAAGTATTGGGACACCCCTCCAAATAATTGCATTCAGGTGTTCCAATCACCTCCATTGCCACAGGTATATAAAATTAAGCACCTAAGCATACAGACTGCTTCTACAAACATTTGTGAAAGCATGGGTCACTCTCAGGAGCAGGAGCTCAGTGAGATCAAGCATGGTACCATGATAGGTTGCCACCTGTGCAATATGTCCATCCATGAAATTTCCTTGCTACTAAAAATTCCACGGTCAACTGTTAGTGGTATTATAACAAATAGGAAGCCACTGGGAACAACAGCAACTCAGCCATGAAGTGGTAGGCCACATAAAATGACAGAACCAGCACATGCTGAAGTGCACAGAAGTTGTCAACTATCTGCAGAGTCAATAGCTAAAGACCTCCAAACTTTGTGTGGTCTTCAGATTAGCACAACAGTGCATAGAGAGCTTCATGGAATCGGTTTCCATGGCTGAGTAGCTGCATCCAAGCCTTACATCACCAAGTGCAATGCAAAGAATCAGATGCAGTTGTGTAAAGCACGCTGCCACTGGACTCTAGAGCAGTGGAGACGTGTTCTCTTAAGTGACGAACCATGCTTCTCTGTCTGGCAATCCGATGGACATGTCTGGGTTTGGCGGTTGCCAGGAGAATGGTACTTGCCTGACTACACTGTGCCAAGTGTAAATTTTGGTGGAGGAGGGGGATAATGGAATGGGTTTGTTTTTCAGGGTTTGTGCTTGGCCCCTTAGTTCCAGTAAAGGAAACTCTTAAGAAGTCAGCATATCAAGAAATTTTGGACAATTGCATGTTCCCAACTTTGTAGGTAGAGTTTAGGGATGGCCCCTCCTGTTCCAACATGACTGCGCACCAGTGTACAAAGCAAGGTCCATAAAGACATGGATGAGTGAGACTGCGAGCCAGGCCTTCATGTCCAACATCAGTGCCTGACCTCACAAATGTGTTTCTGGAAGAATGGTCAAACATTCCCATAGACACATTTCTAAACCTTGTGGACAGCCTTCTCAGAAGAGTTGAAGCTGTTATAGCTGCAAAAGGTGGGCCAACTCATTATTGAACCCTTCGGATGCTATAAAAGTTCATATGCTTGTAAAAACTTTTGGCAATATAGTAATATAGTGTGTATGTATGTGTGTATATATATATATATACAGTGGGGATCGAAAGTTTGGGCACCCCAGCTAAAAATTTGTATTAATGTGCATAAAGAAGCCAAGGAAAGATGGAAAAATCTCCAAAAGGCATCAAATTACAGATTAGACATTTTTATAATATGTCAACAAACGTTAGATTTTATTTCCATCATTTACACTTTCAAAATAACAGAAAACAAAAAAATAGCGTCTGCAAAAGTTTGGGCACCCTGCAGAATTTATAGCATGCACTGCCCCTTTTGCCAAGCTGAGACCTGCCAGTGTCATGGATTGTTCTCAATCATCGTCTGGAAAGACCAGGTGATGTCAATCTCAAAGGTTTTAAATGCCCAGACTCATCTGACCTTGCCCCAACAATCAGCACCATGGGTTCTTCTAAGCAGTTGTCTAGAAAACTGAAACTGAAAATAGTTGACACTCACAAAGCTGGAGAAGGCTATAAGAAGGTAGCAAAGCATTTTCAGATGTCAATATCCTCTGTTCGGAATGTAATTAAGAAATGGCAGTCATCAGGAACAGTGGAAGTTAAAGCAAGATCTTGAAGACCAAGAAAAATATCAGACAGAACAGCTCGCAGGATTGTGAGAAAAACAATTCAAAAACCCACGTTTGACTGCACGATCCCTCCAGAAAGATCTGGCAGACACTGGAGTTGTGGTACACTATTCCACTATAAAGAGATACTTGTACAAATATGGTCTTCATGGAAGAGTCATCAGAAGAAAACCTCTTCTACGTCCTCACCACAAAAATCATCGTTTGAACTTTGCAAATGAACATATAGACAAGCCTGATGCATTTTGGGAACAAGTTCTGTGGACCGATGAGGTTAAAATTGAACTTTTTGGCCGGAATGAGCAAAGGTACGTTTGGAGAAGAAGGGGCACAGAATTTAATGAAAAGAACCTCTGTCCAACTGTTAAGCATGGGGTTGGATCAATCATGCTTTGGGGTTGTGTTGCAGCCAGTGGCACAGGGAACATCTCACGAGTAGAAGGAAAAATGGATTCAATAAAATTTCAGCAAATTTTGGATGGTAACTTGATGCCATCTGTGAAAAAGCTGAAGTTAAAGAGAGGATGGCTTCTACAAATGGATAATGATCCTAAACACACCTCGAAATCCACAGGGGATTACATCAAGAGGCATAAACTTAAGGTTTTGCCATGGCCTTCACAATCTCCTGACCTCAACATAATTGAAAATCTATGGATAGACCTTAAAAGAGCAGTGCGTGAGAGACAGCCCAGAAATCTCAAAGAACTGGAAGACTTTTGTAAGGAAGAATGGGCAAAGATACCTCAAACAAGAATTGAAAGACTCTTGGATGGCTACAAAAAGCATTTACAAGCTGTGATACTTGCCAAAGGGGGCAGTACAAGATATTAACTCTGCAGGGTGCCCAAACTTTTGCAGACGCCATTTTTTTGTTTTCTGTTATTTTGAAAGTGTAAATGATGGAAATAAAATCTAACTTTTGTTGACATATTATAAGAATGTCTAATCTGAAATTTGATGCCTTTTGGAGATTTTTCCATCTTTCCTTCGCTTCTTTATGCACATTAATACAAATTTTTAGCTGGGGTGCCCAAACTTTCGATCCCCACTGTGTATATATATATATATATATATATACATATACAGTGAAGGAAATAAGTATTTGTTCTCCTGCTGATTTTGAATGTTTGCCCACTCACAAAGAAATGATCAGTCTAAAAATCGAATGGTAGGTGTATTGTAACACTGAGAGACAGAATAGCAACAAAAAATTCAAAAGATATGCATGTCTAACAAATTATGCACTGATGTTCATGAGGGAAATAAGTATTTGATCGCCCTCACAAAACATGACTTTGTGATTGCCAACAAGGGATTTGCCACCAAGTACTGAGGTCAGACGTTTCCTGTAGTTGGCCTCCAGGTTTGCACACATCTCAGGAGGGATTTTGGCCACTCCTCATGGCAGATCCTCTCCAAGTCATTAAGGTTTGGTGGATGACGTTTAGCAACTCGAACTTTCAGCTCCCTCCACAGATTTTTAATCTGATTAAGGTCTGGAGACTGACTAGGCGACTCCAGGACCTTAATGTGCTTCTTCTTGAGCCACTCCTTTGTTGCCCTGGTCGTGTGTTTTGGGTCATTGTCTTGCTGGAACAAGGTTCCACCCAATATTTGATGGTACATTGCCCCATCCATCGTTCCTTTGATGCGGTGCAGTTGTCCTGTCCCCTTAGCAGAAAAACACTCCCAAAGCAGAATGTTTCCACCACCATGTTTGACAGTTGGGATGGTGTTCTTGGGGTCATAGGCAGCATTACTCCTCCTCCAAACACGGCGAGTTGATTTGATGCCAAAGAGCTCGATTTGGGTCTCATCTGACCACAACACTTTCAAACAGTCCTCCACTACATCATTTGGATGTTCATTGGCAAACTTCAGACGGCCCTGGACATGTGCTTTCTTGAGCAGAGGGACCTTGCAGGCACTGCAGGAAATTCATTTCTTGTCGGCGTAGTGTGTTACCAATTGTTTTCTTGGTGACTGTGGTCCCAGCTGCCTGGAGATCATTGACAAGATCCTCACGTGTAGTTCTGGGATGATTCCTCACTGTTCTCATGATCATTGACACGCCACAAGGTGAGATCTTGCATGGCGCACCAGACCTAGGGAGACTGACAGTTGTTTTGTGTTTCTTCCATTTACGAATGATTGCACCAACTGTTGTCACCTTCTCATCAAGCTGCTTGGCAATAGTTTTGTAGCCCAGTCCAGCCTTGTGTAGGTCTACAATCTTGTCCCTGACATCCTTGGACAGCTCTTTGGTCTTTGCCATGGTGGAGAGTATGGAATCTGATTGTTTGATTGCTCCTGTGGACAGGTGTCTTTTATACAGGTAACAAAATGAGATTAGCAGCACTCCCTTTAAGAGACTGCTTCTAATCTCAGCTTGTTACCTGTATGAAAGACATCTGGTAGCCAGAAATCCTGCTGAATGATAGGGGATCAAATACTTATTTCCCTCATGAACATGCAAATCAGTGCATCATTTGTTAGACATGCATTTCTTTTGAATTTTGTGCTGCTATTCTGTCTCTCAGTATTACAATACACCTACCTTTCCATTTTTAGACTGATCTTTTCTTTGTGAATGGGCAAAACATTAAAAATCAGCAGGGGATCAAATACTTATTTCCTTTACTGTACATATTCTGTTGAGCTCACTTGGAAATTACCACACTTTGTAGTATTGCAACCGCTAATGAATATGTATTTAAATAGTACCATTTATCCAATATTTGTATTAGTCCAGAAAAGTTACACATAATTGAATCATTTTTATCCTTATCAGAGGCGGCCACTCCTGAGTATGCTTGGGCTGCAAAGAAAGTTGCAGGTGTTTCAGGAAAGTCTCTACCAGCTTTGCTCATCTGAACTAATGAAGAGCAAATTGGCTTGGGTTCAATTTGCGGAAGGATTTACAAACCCAGTCTGAAATTCTCAAACCCTAAATAGTGCCTAAACCCCTTTGAAATCTATGGGAGCTGAAGTTTGTTTGCCAGATTTGCAAGCTTTTAGCTCAAAAGAAGTGTGGGTAGTAGAGCATTGCAATGGGTGACATGTACTAATACAAAACAAAATGTAAAAAAATACAGTTTTGTTGGCAACAGGTATTTTAATAATGCAACGAGGAAGGGCAATATTAAAAATACACAATTCCTTTTTATAACATGCTTAGGCAATGAAATAGCATGTGAAGTGGCACACCTGTAGGATTTAATACAGCAAAAGTGGCATGTAAAAAAAGTTTACATTAATGGAGCTAAATGGCCTTTCCTCCCTGCTGGGGGGGATCTCAATTGTGAATTTAGTGGTGATAGTGATTCTTCCACTAAAGCTGGCCATACATTATACAATTTTCTTGTAGTACAATTTACCAAAACTATATAATATGAGGTCAAACCTAAACACTTCCAGTTTGCATGCAATCAGGCAGCCCCTTGCATTACATAGTTGAAGGTAATTCTAAAGGTAATTGAATAAGAAAATTGTATAAAGAATGGTCCCCTTTAACCACTTGGCAACTGCGCTATAGCCGAATGCCAGCTACAGTGCGGTCGTCCAGTCCTCCAAGAACGTGCCGTCCCATGCACCCCCAGCGGTGCGCACCTGGCGATCTCTGTGATCGCTGTGCCCTGTGTTCACATGATGTGGTAAAAGGCCAATCACAGCGGCTTTTTAAAACGTGATCAGCTGTGTCCAATGACACAGCAAATCACCGGGTAAATACAGTTGCCGGTTATCGGCTGCACTGTCAC